AAACCCAAATTACAATTAATCAAACTTACCTGCGCGGAATTGAACCCAAGGAATCGATCCTCCGGCCCGCTGCCCCTGCCGGAACAGTCCCATCGTCGCCGGAACAACCCCGGCACCCCCACCGGTAGCCGCCCCGGCTGCCCGAACCCGAAGCCAGGCCAAACAGCCCCGTTGGGCGATTCACTACAACCCGAACAGTACATCAATTAACCCAAAACAGTCCAAACACATCCAATTGCACCCAATTGAATCTAAATAGCCCAATTGAACCCGATTGAACCCGTTTGGACCCAATTGAACCCAATTGGACCCGATTGAACCCAATTGGACCCAATTGGTTCCAAGTGAGCTCAATTGAACCATAGCACCATCGCCAAGCCACTGCTTGGAACCCGGCCGGCCTACTGCCGAACGCCCCCGGCGCGTCGCCGGAGAAGGTGACGGAAAACAGCCCCAACATTCCCCCAACAATTTAAACCACAATCAAACCCAATTACACAATCAATTGCAAGATTAGAAGCTAAAGAAGTACTAATTCTACAAATTAACGCTAACTATAGGTATAGGAACCACGATTCACCTCGAAATTTGATGAATTCAACCTTGGATTGGGAAGGACTCGCCGCTGCAACTCCTCCCTGGTATCGCCGGCCTGCTGCACGCGACGGAGGAAAAAGAGGAGAATGTCGCCGGAACTCCTGAAGTCGACGGCGAGTCGCGGCGCTGCCCTGGTCGGCGGAGACGAGCGAGAGAACGGACGGTTGCTCCTCTCCTTCGGCGATGCGCGGACGGAAATAGCGACGGAGAACGAGGAAGATGGCGGTGTCGGCTTCCTGGTCGGCGTCTCCAGTCGACGGTACAGCGGCGGGCATAAGGTAACGGAAGAGAGAGAGAGAGAGAGAGAGAGAGAGAGAGAGACCAGTCGTGCGTTACGCAGTGCGTATCCTTTCAGTAACCTCCTGGGCGTTTATTATATAATTAAATATATTTAGGGTCCACTTTACACCACTTAACCAATTAGGACAAGTTTAACCTATTCGTCAATCGTATCTCGGACCCTGTAGATCCAATTCACGACCCGTTTGCACGATCGGGTTCAGAACAGCGAGCTCTACAATGAAGGAATAACCCTCATTAATTAAGGCAAATTAGAAAATAATCTTTGTATTTAGAGGCTCAATAATTATTTAATTTTATAAATTAATTAAAATACTAAGCCGGGTTTCGGGGCGTTACATTTCTCTCCCCCTTAAAAGAATTTCGTCCTCGAAATTAACTAAATCATATCATTATCGCTAATAAGATGAGGATACTGAACTCTCATAGATTCCTCAGTCTCCCACGTACCTACATGAACTGCATGGTTACGCCACATGACTTTGACTAGAGACACCCTCTTGTTCCTCAACTCCTTCACTTCCCGTGCTAGAATCTGCACAGGCTCCTCCTCATATGTCAAGTTCTCCTCCAGAGTCACTGCGCCTTCGGGTAACTGATGGGTCGGATCTGATCGGTAACGTCGGAGCATAGACACATGGAACACGTTGTGAATCTTGCTCAGCTCACGTGGTAGCTCCAACTGATATGCTACAAGACCAACTTCCGCGATGAGGGTGGAAGGTTGTGCTCACATTTAGCTTGGTACCCAAAGCTTGTTGAAGTCCCTTCCTAAACTTTGAGATGAAACAGGGACCCCCATCGGAGATAATAGATATCGATACTCCATGCAATCGAGCAATCTCGCGAAGACACAATTCAGCTAACTTCTGAAGCGACATACCCCGTCGAACAGGTAGAAAGTGTGCAGATTTTGTAAGACGATCCACAATGACCCACACAGCGTCGTAAGGGTAAGCTAATTAAGAAATCTATCATGATTCACCAATTTCCACTCGAGGATAGAAGGCGGATGTAACATTTTAGACAGTACTCAATGCTCGGCCTTGACTTGCTGGCAAGTCAAAACCGTGTTGTAGACTCAAAGATCTCTCCCTTCACAACGGCCATAATAGTTTCCTTACAGGACATGATAATTCTTAATAATACCCGGTTGTATGACGACGAAGATACTCCCAATTTAATTGATGTAGAATATTTGGAGAATACTTCGGTATATCTCCCTAGAAAATTTGAATAACGAAGAAACAAGGAGAAGATGATACGACGAAGAGTGCTAACTAAATTGATGAAGGTCTCGTAAATGGGCCTTTGACTTGGAAAGTATCACTCCGTGATGGTTTTGCATTTAGGGGTGGGAATTTCTTATTTTGTTATTAAAGGTTCTATTATAAAATTATTGAACTGTAACATTTATTTTGATGACAACTTTCGAAACATAATTCCAAATTCGACCAACTATGTGTCACGGGTCACCCCTTCTTGCGAGACCTACCCAACGATCCTATTCGTGAGTAAACATAATTTCCACGTCACCCTTGTATTTTACTCGTTCACTTTAAAATCTTCTCGATCTTGGGAAGGGCAATTCCCTAACTTCCATAACTCAGATTCACACACGGAGTACTCCATTGTACTCGTCTTGTCGGGACTTTCAATTTGAATGTAATTTTCTTTTCCATCGGATTTAACTTTGATAGCACCGACTTTTTTTTTGTATATTTAATTTAAACAAAAACTAAAGTTACGTTTTGCTACATATTTGAAAACAAAATCCTAGGGTATACTTCATGGCATTACGTTTCATCTTTTTTTTGGATACGACATTACGTATTTTTTTTTCTTTTTTTGTGTATGTGCAAAATGACCATTTTAGTAATTTATCAAAAGTTCTCTAGTGAAAATGTTTAAGTAACTTAATCACTGTTAGAATAAAAGACCAACGCTAGAGGGGGGGTGAATAGCGTTTGATCGGAGAAGTCGCAGGAATTAAAAATTTAAAAGAGAAGTAAAGAGAAGAGTAAGAGGCACACCGAATTTTACCCTGGTTCACCACAACTTGTGGCTAATCCAGCCTCCCGAGAGACTCTCTCGAGCTACACTACTAACTCGTTAAGCTTACG